GTTTGCTGGTATTTTAAGGCCCTTTGGAGCTCTCCAATTTAAGAAAAATTGGCCTGACCCTACCTGCGCCTCGGGTATAGCGGGAGTACCCGTTAAGCTTCTGCATTAATAGTTAAAGTTTACTTTAATCCCTTCTACCTTTTATTTGGCTAGCAAAATCAACAGGCGCGTATTTATTGAGGTTAGCGGATCTAAGACACCATTTCAATAACTTTCTGCCACGTTAACCTAATTTTATCTTAATTTATATTTCTACGGAGATATAAATATAAAATTTTATATTTTTTTTAGTGAATATTCATTTCTCGTAATCAACAAAAAAAAATAACAGTAATATTATTACAAAATGTAATGGGGATGGAATTTTCTATGTTAATTTTTTTAATATCATTTTGAAAGAAGAAGAATTTTTTTTTTAAAAAAATAAAATAAATACATTTTATTCGTAAATATTTATTAACCATTATAATATCCCCTCAAAACCTAAACTAAATTTTTATAACATTTAAAAAAAATTATTCTATTAAATTTCGTTATTCAAAATTTCATCTTTTACACTACAATACATATACATACATATAAATTTAGAGGAGCATTTAACAAACTATCATTTCATAATATATAATATATCCATTTTTATTTTTTAAAAAACGATATTATGCATAACATTAACAACCCAAATATTTAATAGGGCAAACTCCAAGAATTTAATTTTTTTTTTTATAAAATGAAATAATTATTATTAATAAAAACTCAATATGATTATTTCAAATTAAATCATAATTAAAATGAAAACATTAAAATAATAAGGTAGAGTAAATCTGAAAGTTGGAAAGAAACTCTTCCATTAAAATAATATGGATTTACCTGACCATAAATCGAAAAAGGGATACTCAAACAATCTGTCCATTTATTTTTATATTTTATACACCAGTGTTTTCACATTTAAATTTAAGATATAAATATATTATAAACTATACATCAGAGACCTATAATCCCTGTCCCATCGATGATACCGGTAGCAAGTGTTTTAAATTATGTTTTTTTGAAACCGGGATGATACCCCAAAAAATTAACGAATAAAAAGCGGCTTTAAATTTTTATACATGGATATTTTTTTCTTAACACTTTACCAAGCTTGTAATAAACATAACTCGAGATCAACATTGTGTCATCTCGAAGTTAAGGCAAAGGAGAATAGGAAAATAGGTAAAATTAAAAAATAAGATTTTTTAAAAGATTTCTAATTATTATTTGTAATATAAAATAACTTGTGTAATTATAGAATAAACATGGTTTCATTGGTCGGTGTCCGAAGATTGATTTATATTTTTTAAAGATATTATTTAAGCATACCTTATAACAATATAAATCAAGATCAGTTAATAGCAAGCTCCTTAAAATGATAGTTTAAAACATTTTAAATCTAATATAATATATTACTTCTGGCTTTGATTTGAGGTTAATCAATGTTATATTTTCAAAGTTTTAAAAGAATTTCAACTTTTCAAAAATCCAGCATCTTTATAGTCAGTGGTGTCACTAGCCTTTAGAGCCTCTGGGGGGTCAATTATTTTTTTAATTTATTTTTACCTAACATCTTCAAAATAACTTTTTCATTAGCTAACATATTTTAATCCCCTATGCGCCCCCCCCCTAATTCAAGTGACACTATTGTTTATAGTTAGAACTAAAAAAAATAAAATAGAGTAAAATTTGATGAGAGATTTGACCTCTTAATAAAAAACATAAACAATCATTTTAAATTATTTTGTTTTATAGAATATAATTAATAAGAGCTAAAAATGTGTTCCTGGTTCAATTTATTACTAAGTGCCCGGTCTAATAACTAAGAGAGAAAAAAATTTAAAATAACAATGTCATTAAATACTTAAAATAAACCAATATAGGGTGTCCTTGTTGAAAAGATGCTTAAAACAGCAATAAATATATCGAAAATATGCCTCACCAGGACAAAGCCTAATAGTTTTACCTCAAGCAACTTTAAATTTGTCCAAATATTTTAACAAAAAAACAAACAAACCTTATGAGTTCTTAAAAAAACTAAAACAGAGATCCTATTCTCTTTGCCCCTCCTTATTTATATTCTTTCTTTTATCTTTATTTTAACATCGGAAATCCATCCAATGTATATGTCATAAGAGACATTTATTTTTATATTAACTAATTATTACATAATTTTTATTTATTTTTTTTTTCGTATAATATTCATAATAAGATCTAATTTTTTTTATTTTTAAAATAAATACTAACACATAATCGTTATATACAAACAAAAAATAAATTTATTCAACGATTCCTGGCCTGAATATATTCTAATTTTTTTTCTCTCTCTCTTTTCTTTTCTCTAGTTATTTTTTATATGTATCAAATCGAATTTAGTTTAAATTTTGCAATTTATTTTATTTTTTTGTTGAAAAAAGAGAAGGTATATTATAATAATATATAAATGTATTTCACAAAATTATAAAATTGTAATATGTAAACTTTTGAGTCGGAACATGAAAAAATCGCATCATGAATTTTTTTTTTTAATAAAAAAGATAAAATAAATGTTGTCGATGTGTCAAAAAAAAATATTTAGTAAATTTTGCGTTTATTTATGTAACACTTTATTATTATTAAACAAAATTACAAATTGAAAAATTATATGAATTTTTTTCAAAAAAAAATAAAAAAATATTTATGTTCCCAAAAATTTGATAAAATTTATTTTAATATCCGAGACCTGTAGAGGTCGAAATTTTTAGTTCCCGACCCGGTTATAACATTCCTCGGCCAAGCCGGATTTTCTAAAATTTCTTTAGCCGGTCTGGATTTTAAAATTTATATTTTAAGACCGGGTCCCGGGTCGGGCCTGGGTTTTTGAAATATATATTTAATTATGACTTTTAGTCTTAATTACGTGATTGAACAATCAAAATTCCAATTAAGTTATTCATATAAGGGCAGTATAAAGATATAATCTCCTAGTTAACTTATCCTAGCAGCCTTGAAATCATATAAAGAAAATTCAAACATTTTTTTAAACATAATCTTCTCCATACTCATTTGAACACCCAAATAAAGGAAAAATGATTCAGAAAAAAGGTAAAAGTGTGATAATTTATTAAAATATGATTTTTAATTATTTTAAATCTCAGTATTAAGAAAGAAAATGTTATCCACCCATATCGTTACTACATTTATGAGTTCTACTTAAATTTAAATATATACGCACTGCTTATATTAAAAATGTTTGGTTTGCATTCAGCCAAAAACTGGCGAAGTAAAGTCTCGAACTTAGATTATGGACTTGTGAGAAAATCAGAATAGATTACAATTTACTGTTATTCAAATCAAAAAATTCTTATAACCCATCCCAGGATTTTTCACCATTTTAATCAACATAAAACGATTTATAACAGTATAAATCTCAGCCAAACAGCTTATCTCACCCTCGATCGGTTGGGAAATTTTAATATTTTTCCTAATTTATTTTACTTCCCGAATTCTTGAAAAAAAATAACAAAAATAAGATACCCGGCTATAAATATCCTGGCAAAAAAATAAACAAGCCAAAATACCATTCTTTAAAAATTTTTATTATATATTTTAACAAATTAAATATTAATCCAAGCTTAGATATCTCGTGTAGAACATTCATCACAAATGAGCCCTTTATTTTATAATACATATCTAGATAAAGTAGAATAAAACTCTGGGCCTTAAATTGCAAAAATAATGTTAAATATAATCGAACAAGTAATGCGATACAGTTACCATCTCATTTTTTAAAATAATATTGGCATTTCAAATATTTTATTACATGTTTTTGTTTCGATTAGAGATCTGCAAAGTTAGGCCCGGCCCGTACCCGGCCCGAGTTCGGGCCTAATTTTATTTAAAATAATCGGGTTCGGGCCGGGCCGGCAAAACTTTTTAAAAAAATTTCGGGCCGGGCTTTAAAATTTAGCCCCGATGCAGATCACTAGTTTCGATTATTTTAAAACTATAAATTATAAATACCCCCCCCCCCTTCTCTAGGAATTTTTAAATTTTTTCTAAAATTAGGTTATTTTTTTCCAAATTTTTCTTGCTTGGAGGTTTTTTGCTTTCAACTAATTTTATTTTACTTTGATATAATTTATAAAAAAAAATGCCAAGAAGTGGCTGGGGCTAGGAAAACCACCTTTTCGAATAACTCACATACCTTTTATATTTCGTGAAGTTTACTATATATCGATAGAAACCTACAAGTATATAACTATAAGTGGAAAGTATCATAATTTAATAATGTTTTTTGCATAAAGTGATCATGTCTAACAAAGTCCAGCCATAGAGTTAGTCAAACTCGTGTGGGGCTCCCTAAATTTAGATCAAATCCATTTGCACGATTCAACTAGCCCTGGTCTCCCCTAATTTAATAATTATATAGTAATTCATTAAATTCAAAACATGTTACAGGAGTTAAAAGACTTTAGCCAAAATAATTAATATAATATAAGCCTAGAGATTTAGAAAAATAGAAGTCCTAATTTCTCGGCCACCTATGAGCAAATCTCCTGGCTTATGTATATTATTTCGGTTGAAATTTTAAACGGTTCGTTTTTAAAAATCGATCCAAATCGTTACAACACTACAGAAATCGTTAAAGCTTCAATGCTAAAATAGTCTAAAATTTGCCCGCGACGTCGCTTTCCCCCCTTTTTGCTCAGACATGATTCGCTAAAAAATTCCAAAATTCTTGCAAAATGTAACTAATAATATTTTTATTTCGTAAACGAATATTTAGATTTTAGATTCAAAAAAAAATAAAAATATAATATATAGAATAAATAAATTAAAATAAAGTAAAATAAAATGAAATGAAATGAAAGAAATACTTTAAAAAAATAAATATTGTGAATTTGTGTTTTTGATATAAATAAATTATATACAAAAATTTTAAATAAATAAAAAATATTATTTTAAAACAATTTATTAAAATTTTATTAAAATACTTTTTTAATAAAAAAAATAAGAAAGAAAAAACAATTAAAATTACATACATCAAATAAATTTTTATAATTGAAAAGAATCTTTAAAATTTATCGGATAGTCAACAAATATGATTCTCAAACCTGTCTATAATCACGGATCGACTTCAAGAGATTTCTCTATTTTTTAGGGTTATTAGTATTACAACTACAAGTAAATATATTTTATAAATTTTTTACAAATTTTTATAAAAGTAAGGAAAGGGAATAAAATGAAAAGAAAGAAAGTTAAAAGAAAAACGCATAAATATATATATATATATAGCATTATTTTATTTATAACGGACCGTTACACTTTTCATCTCAAGACTAAGCTAATTTTTAGGCAAAATAATCGGCTAAGCGCCATTCTTAGGGATTCATCTGGGGTGAAGCTATTAATCAAGATTAGAGGATGCAAAAATGACTCTTTATTATATTTTTACATTAAATTTTAACATAAATAATTTTTATGTTAATTTGAAAAAATGTATATTATTTTAAATTTTTATTTTTATGCTGATTTGGGTTATTTTTGCAAAATATACAAATAATATAAATATTTTTAAAATAAACCCATGGACTTCTACCCCGGGAAATGGGAGGGGCGAGTTATGACGCAGCATCATCTTGAAATTGGAAGACGATCTCGTTATTTTTATAAAATTTGAGAGAGGTAGTTGTAATTTGAATTTCCCTTTTTTGCTTATTTTGATTTGGTATGAGGGGTTATGGCGGTAAAATTAGGTGGAGGGTGGCTGGTGATAAAACTGTTGAGGAGAGTGGGGTAATATAATCACTGATTTGGGAATGAGAGGGTTTTAGAGGTCTTCGGCTAAACCTGATTGATATATTGCTTGTTAACAGTTCCTGCAAATGCAAATGATAATGAGGTATTATTCCCTAGAATCTAATTATTTTTTTAACATGGAACCGCTTATGTTATGAATCATACAATTATTTCAGTGTCCTATTTTATCTATCTCGATTTTGAAAAGAATTTTTGGGGTTGGAGGGTTAATTTATAGTCCTCATTATCCATTTTTAAATAATCAAAATTTATATTTTTAAATCAACTTGACAAACTATAAAAAAAAGAATAAAGATTTTTTGGTGTTATAATATGGGGTTGCTTGTTGTTTCTATTATTTTGGATCAAATATTTTTCTGAATTCTTTCTTATAGAATGAACTCTAATCTAAAAGCTTTATTTGTACTAATATATCCTTTTGCGCACATATCCGAATAAGAATAGAAAATAATATTTTTCAAGTTTTTGTTGTTTCACAACTAGACTAAAATCTACCGGAGAGCTAACAGAACTATTTGGATAATTACTATGAAATTGTATTTCAACGATTTTAGCACTCTCTATTAAATAAAATATTATCAATTCTTATTTAAAAAATTTATGCTTTTTCAAAAAATGCGTATATTTATTGTTAAATCTTATCTTTATTTTAACAATAATCATTGTCTGAAATTTTGAATTGTACAATTTTGTTGTAAAGCCAAATCATAAATTTAAATATTTTAAAATTGAAATATAGGTAATATCCTGTTTATTTATAATTTTGAAACATATATATCATATGTATAAGTATTATATTTGGCAGCATTTTATTTTTTTACTCAAAAACTTAAGTTTGATTATATGATCAATTCTACTATAATATTATTGGATAAAATTAAAATAACTGTCATCCTGAGTTTACCCAAGATTTTCCTAAAAGGGAAAGCATATTTAATATCCAATTATGGACCGGAACACCAATTAGTAGGAGGATTTACGTCTTGGTTGAACCAGGTGGTGTTCGCACGGTGGTTCGATTAAAATCAGTATCATGAATTATTTTAAAATATTAACTAATGGCTAAAATTTCCCTTTACAAAATGGCTCCATGTTTTGAGTTAAAATAAGATATATATTAGTTCCGGTAATGGTACCTAAAAGTTTCATTTCTCCGTTGCACCGGCCGTGCCGAGGAAGGAAAAAATCTTGATTAGCATTTCAAAATTTGATTTTGCAAGCCTTAAATTGGGATTGTTTTTGTCCAATGTATTTCGTTTATAAGAGATTGGATATTTTTTTTTCCCTGGTGCATAAATAGCGAAAATTTATGAGAATTTAAAATCATATTCAACAGCCACCATACAAAGTCTAAATTTAGTGGTTATTTGATTTCCATATAGAATAAACCTATTGATATTTCAACTGCTCTAAAGATTATTAATCAGATTTGATTGGTCAGTATCAGTCATCGTTGTATTTAACTATTGACGGTGTCAGCAAGTTATCATATAGTATAAATTTGTTTCTCTTTACATAAAAAGATTATATGCCAAAAAGTTAGAACAGGTTTATAAAGGTTCAAACAGAACTGATATTATTATATTTTTACGAACCGAACCTGAACTTAAACCGTCATTTTTATCTGAATCTTAACCTGAAACCGAACCAATATTCGTTACAGTTCAAATGAGGACCAAAATTAATCTAAAAAATATTTATAATTATTTCTTGATAATTTGGTTCTTGCTCTAATCTTAAATGTAACATTTAAGCGCGATTTTAGTTTCTTTGGGCTCGTAATAATTTCGCCATTCTATCATATTCTTATTCGGGAATATCGTGATTTGAAAATTCAAACTTTTAATTGTGTTTTAAAAATTCTTCGATTTCAATTTTACTAACACTGTTATATATATCTCCATTTTCATCTTAGATTTATTATTAGATTTTTTAATTGTTGTTTCATTTTTCAATTTATTTTTAATATGTAACTCCTGGACTTTAATCTTATCGGATCTTCAGAAGTCTAGAATGAAATGTTCCTGATAACTATAAGAGCGTTTATGTTTTGGTCAATATAATAAGATGATAAATATATAAGCCATTTTTATAAACATCTATAATAGGATTTTGGGAGGGTAAGAACTACCTAGAGAGGTCAAGATAATAATTTTTTGGGAAGAAAAATTCATAAATTCGCATTATTCAAGGTTTAAAAGAATTTTAAAAAAATCATTGAATTATTTTTCCAAAAAATATTTTGCCTATTTTCCGGTTAGCTTTTTCACCCAACGTCTTTCACGGGCCAGGGATATAATACTATTATAAATAGAGCAAAAAAAATAAATCTTTGTCTTGAATTTTTTTAAATTTTGGCTAATCCGAGCTTGTGTAATTTATCTAATTTAATATAAGAATGATTAAACAATGAAGATATTTGAAATGGGAGGCACCACGTGCTTCCCATTGGATGAATAAAATAAAATTCTTAAATGATGAGAAAAAAAAATGTTTAAAAGAAGAGATAATTTTTTTTGATAGATAATGTCTATAGGATTTGAGTATGTTTATTTTTAAATACTCTTCCTTAGCATTTTATTTTAAAAAAATATATATATTTTAACTTCCGCTTTTTAGAATTTATGTTTATATTCTGTAGGTTGTGTTCGAAAGTTTCAAAAAGTTCTAAAGTTTTAAAACTTTAAGGAAACACAATAAAGTATTGAGAATTCCGCAAAATATATTTTGGCAATACTTAATTCATGCTTTCAAAGTTTGAAAGTTTTCAAATTAAATATTTTCCTGTTTTGGACATAGCTTTGCTTTAAAAAAAGGAAATTGATTTGAAAAAGTTTTGAAAAAAAGAAAGGAAAGAACTACAAGAATGTCAAAATGTTTCATTCATATCTTCTATATTAATTTTTTTTAGATCTCAGGGTCATATATTTAAAAATAAATTTTTTGAAAATCTCTACCAACGATCTAAGTTTTCTTGTTATGATTACTTAAAAACCTCATTTTACCCAAAAATATTGTTCAAGCTTAGAAATTTCGCATCTAAACTATTCTGAGCGAAATCTCAAGGCTTAAACAATATTCTTTCAATAATTTTCTGAATTCACAATTTTTATAAGAATCAGCTATCAAGATTTTTAAAGGTCATAACATGCAAAAGGGAAAATTTAACTTTAGCCTGAGCCATGTTGCGCAATAAATATATTTTTAAAATAACAGAAAGAAAATTCAATGGTAGAGTAAAGCGGAGGTGAGACTCGATTTATTATGATATTAGAAGGAAAAGGTTATTATTTATGAAAGAGGTTAGGATTATCAGGGCGACAAGCAAATATATAAATATAAATCATTTTAAAAGAACCGTAAGGGCTAACTGGTAAGCATCTTTGACAAATGTTCAGTTGTAGTATTTAGTCGCGAGTTTGATTCCAACTCAGGATATTGTTGCACCTTTCACAAAATCTGACATAAAACAATGGCCATTTTGATATAATAATAATATATGTCGTGTAGGGTTGAATATCTTTAGAATAGCAAATAATCGTTTATAAAAAAATTGACTTTTATAACTTTATAAAAAATGGAAAGTTTTTTTAAATAAATGGCAAAAGTTAAAAAAAATATATATGACATTTTTATTATATTGTTAATTTTTTTTTTTGAAAACAGAATTTAAATAAAATATATCGATACTACCATTAAACTTTAAATTAATTGAGATACTAAATATATTGAGTTAGCTACTATTTGTTTACTTGTAAGAGATATTGGTAACAATAAAAAGAATTAATCCAACCCGTAGTGATTTAAAATCTATTGTAGAATCACTATCAAAGTGATAATTTATTACAGAGCCTAAACATTTATTACAAAATTTAAATTATAATTATAGATAAAATTAAAGGTATTTACAACTACAAAAGATTTTATTAGTATTTTAAGGTATTGGTACATTTAAATAAGAATTTATTATCAATTACTCAATAAATAATATATTTTAGAAAGTTAGGATATCATTGGTGTTTTAAGATATCGGTAAATTTAAATATGAAGCGATGAAATCGGTCTACCCCTAAATATAAACTATATATAATCGTTTTTGATATCACGTATATATTTTGGTCATATTTCTTCATATTTCACCAAAATATATGCTCTAATTTTTCTTATTTGGCCAAAATATATATATACTCTGTAAAAAAATGTAAAAAAAATTTTTTAAATAATAATAAAAACTTCTAGTATTTTAACAAAAATTTTAAATTAATTGAAGTTTTAAATTTGCAGTTTAATTATCTATATATAATATTTACTTTTAGAAAATAATTTACATTTTTTGTATATTTTGGCCAAATAAGAAAAAATTACAATATATATTTTAGCGAAATACGCCAAAATTTATACAATGTTTAATATCCAGTATATATTTTGGTGCAACACCATAATCTATAATAAATAAATATTTTACAAACATAAATGGCGACCACTATATTTTTATTGATACATACAAAACATAACAATTCTAATATGCCAATATATTTGAAGCGATGAATTTATAAAATTAAAATTGTGGGTTAATTCATTTAATCTTATAATTTTATCAGAGACCTGCAATCTCGGGCCGGCCGTAATTTTTTCTAAAATATACCCAGGCCACCAAGCTTAAATTTTTTTAAAATAAATATCAAAACCGGGACTAAAAATTTTTTTTATAAAAATACTTCTGTCACGGATATTTTAAATCGCCCAAAAATTAAAAATAAATAAGATATGAATATATTCCATTTACTTATCATATTTCTTATTTTCAATTTTTCGATTCTTACAAAATATTTCTTCTAAAATATTATTCATATTAATTATTAAACTAATCAATGTTTTAGGATATATTCAATCAAATAAAAGCAACAGAAATACACTTAAGATTCAAAATATAATACACTTTTTAATGGAAAGATTTATTTTAGACAAGTATCATTTTCTCCCTCTTTTTCTCTGTCCCAAACTCAGGCAATTACGTATGTTGCCATTAGAAAGCGCGAAATGAAATGACTGATACTTATATAAATGAATATATTAAATTACAAGCGATACAGGAAATAAGGGAATTATCATCGACCAGTGGAATAGAAAGTGTGGTGATTCAAACTCACTCCTTATACAACAAAGTGGGAGATAAGATAATTTGAAAAGTTAATAATATATGTATTTCATATTCGCTGAAAAATAATCAGTGAAATGCCTAATAGCTATATATAAAATTTATACACTCTGACCGAAGATTTTTTGTTAAAGAAATGCTGAAATTTTTTTAAAAAACTGGTCCGGGTCAGTCTTTAAAATATCTCGTACCGGGCCGAAAATAATTTTTAAAAAAATCCAAGCCGGGCCGTGCAAATGGTACCTCTGCAGGTCCCTAGTTTTTATATAAAACAAAAGGATAATATTATTTAAAAAAAATATTATTAGAAAAAATTTAAGAAAATAAGATAAAAGAATTTTATCACAAATTAAATTCTATATATAAGAATATCCTTAAAACATAACATGAAATAGAAATAACAAGATGTAAAAAATTATACAAAATTCTTGTTATTCTAATCATCTCTTTAAAATAACTATGGTAGTGATTCTACAATAGCAAAATATCACTACGGTAATGACTCTATAGTATGGTAATGAACAATCGTTCAGGCCCGAATTTATTTTTAATTATCGGACCCTGCTAAGCCCGGTAAAATTTGTACGAAAAGTCAGACTCCTTAATTATTTTAGACTAATTTTCCGGCCAGCACATTTTTAATGTTTATATTTATAATTATTTTACAATGTCAATTAAGGCTCGTTATATCTATACTATCTCTACTCTATGACAATCTATTTCCATAATGACCATTTTATAAATCAATTATGTTGCAATTGGATTACAGCAATAATGACATGTTTAATTTTTTTATAGATTAACTATTTTTTTATTTTTATTTATTTTCAAATAGTATTTTTCAAAATAATAATGTGAGCGTGAATTTCAAAAAATATATATCAAAATTTTAATATCCGGGTATTTCCCCCATTCAAATTTTATGAAAAATCAGAGATTTTCAAGGTCTGACCCTCTTTTTGAATAAATTTTCCGGCCTGCCGCTTTTAGTTTTTAATTTTACCTGGGTCGGGTTTTTGGACGGGCCGGGTTTACGGATCTTTTTTATACACAATTTCCTATTTTATATACAATAAAATATTGAATCCAATCATTTGGCATTTATTTAAATTGTGATTTTTTTAAAACCTAATATTTATAAATAAAGTCGTTTGCAGAATTAAATATGTCCCTTTTTTGTAAATGAACGTTGAAGGCCATCACAAATAATTTTTGCTAATGAACGACGAACTCAAATAAATTCTTTTTTTTGAAAAAATGTTTACAGCAGAAATATTACTTATTTCATATTCTAAGTTACTAATTCGCAGTTCCCATTTTAAGAATAATGAAGTTCGTTTTTCTTTTTTTTAAGTTTAGGTAAATAAATTTGTCTTTTTTAAAGGACCACCAAATTCATTTTCGGCCTGGGCCAAGCCAAAGGTATTATATAAGCCTGGAGATTTTGCTCATATGTAGTATTAAGGTTTTGACCTCTATTTGCTAAATCTCGAGGCTTGCATAATATTATTTTGGCTAAAATCTTAATCCAGCCGTAAAAATTGACCCAAATAGGGTAATATATTATGTATGTCATATTGGGAAATAGAATACATGCATCTCTTTATTTTAAATCATTTACTGAAGACGATTTTTAAAATCTCAAATTTCAGCTTGGGTACCCACACTGTGTATTTCAAACAATTTTGAAATGAAATTTAGAATTGCCCTTAATTTATATGAGTATAAAGGTACCATTTGCACGACCCGGATTTTTAAAAAAAATTTTAAACTCGGTCCGGATATATTTAAAAAATTACGGACCGGGTCCGGCCGAGCCTGCAGGTCTCTGATTTATATTGATTTTTCATATAAATTTTAAAAAAATTTACGAAAGTTTATGAAAATTGTCTGAAATTCGTAGGTTAGGAGATACTCTACACATACTAAACACTTCCGGTTAGAACTAATTTTTTTTAAATTTAAAAAATAGCTCCCAGTGAGATGGCGAATACTCATAGATCCCATATCCCAATACCAACATAAAGGGGCCTTATTGCATTTAAACAAAATTTGGCCGTTGTTTAGCAAATTTATATTTCCAAAACGCAAAGTTTTAATATTAAGCCGCGAATGTGATGATACGACGTGCTCACTTTCATTTCATTGCCATGAAAATTTCAAGTTCAATTATTGAAAGGAAAAAAAAAATTGTTTAATATTATCATTTTTATTACATTATTTTATTTTATGCATATTTATGCAAAATAAAATTATATTATTTATCTATTATTTTCTCTACCATATTATTAAAAACCAGTTAACTAGATTGGAAATTTTTTTTATCGAAATGAAAAATAAAATTTATTCATTAAAAAAAGTCTGGATAAATTTGGGATATGGGAGGGGGGTGGGGGTTTTTAAATTTTTGACAATTTTTTTTAATTTATTCATTCGGTGATTTTTATTTTATCTAATCTATCTTATCACATTTCTTCAGTCAATATTTGCCATATTTATAATTAAATATTTTTATAAACGCTAAAATTGATCAAAATTAATGGGTCATTTGGCATTTTCCATTAAGCCCTTTCGAGCGAGAGATTATGCTAGTTAAAATTTAACAGTTTGGGTAAAATTTGCTTGATCCTCTTTCCGTTATCCGTATTTATAGAATTCCCATAAGACAGGAAATTATTTAACAAGGACCTAAAAATAAATTAAAATAAAAAAAAATTAATCAATATTGTCTTTTTTTAAATTAAACTAAAACTATAATTTATGTTTTTAAAAATTTCTCGCCAGACCGGACTCAACCTAGAAATAAAACGTAAAAAAATTTAGTCCTAAAATAATTTATATATTAGGACTAAGCTATAAAAAAAAATATAGTATTTTGTCATGCTAATAAAATACGAATTTTAAAAATGATTACGGTAAAAAATATAGCTCTGGTAAAATTATTTTACAGTGCTTTCCTCTAATAATAACTCGTAGAATTCCCTCGGGCAGAGACTTGCCGCAGAAATTTTGTCACCCACTTAGAAACAAAGCTTGTGGGGTACTTATACCCATAATTTGCCTTGAACCTTCAACGCCATGTGCAAATGTATCTGACACTCCTCCTTTCGGGAAAAATATTTTATTCAATGAGTAAACCTGCAAATAGCAAAATTGCGCTAATAATAGACTATCAAATTTAGCTTTTCCTGGCGGAGGAGACAAAAAAGAATTATCTCGGATATAAACCGGTTAACCTAGTGTGCCCATTAGTGAAATCTCCGATAACGCAAATGACTTTGAGATTTACCCCCTCCCCTCCATAATTAAATGACGCTATTTATCGTTACCCTACCGCCGTGTTAAAGGGTCCCGAATTAACCGGATCCGAAATGGTAATTATTTTTTATATTTTTTTTATCGAAATTGTTCCCATTTCTATATTAAATTGTACTTATATTTCGTTACCCCCTTTCCCCCATCCCAAATTGAATATTTTATTTTTTTTACTTTAATACATTTTTTTTTTTTTAAATTGACAAAAATATTTCATTTAAAATGAAATAAAATAAAATGATGCAGTAAATTTATGCGAAATTATTATTTTATTTTTTTCGGGTCCACCATTTTAATAAATTATAATTTATCGCAATGTACTTATATTGTTGGGTGACAAAAAAAATATTCTATTTTTTTTAAAAAAACGAATCAGAATAAATTTGAGTTGTTTTAAAAATAAAATGTTTGAAAAGATAAGGAAGTTAATTTTTTTTTTATTCTTCCTTTCTTTTTAATTCCATTCGCCTTTTTTAAAAAAAAATATTATTTTTTTCTTTCCTTTCCTTTTCTTTTCTTTTCTTTTCTTTTCTTTTCTTTACTTTACTTTTCTCTTTTCTTTTCTTTTCTTTTCTAGATGTAATAAGTAAAATAAAGCGAAATAATTTAATTGCCATAAAAAGATGATGTACTTGAACATATTCGTTACCTCATATATAAAGTTTATCATTATATAGCATTTGCTAAATAATGGCCAAATGCAACTACAAATGCCTTTTTAAAATTCAATAATATTCACTTTTATTTTGATGTAATAACGGAATCAAGTGGTGGCTGCCGATATTCAATTTATCATACTCCTAACACTAAACCACTAGTTGGATAAAAACCAGTCCGTGCAGGATTCGAACCTATAACCATCCGATTTTTGATACACGCATTCATCAACTATTCTATAGATGCTACTCGATATAAAAAATGATTTTTTTTGTATAAGAATAATTAAAAGTTAACAAGGAAAAAACAGAGTATATAGTAATAAATGGAGTTGAAACAGACATCATCGACATAAATGAATGACAGGTATCAGCAATTGAAAGCTGTAGACATTTGGGTTTTACTTTACAAAGTAAGAACACAATCGAAAGAGAAATAAAATATAAAATAAACCATGAGTTGTAGAAATTTGGAGTACTCTTTGACAAAGAATTTCTCACAAATTGAAAATATAGAGTTCCATAGCACAACCCAACTGACAAGGCAACACAAAGACAAAAGTTGCAGACAATGGAAATGAGAATGCTGAGAATGGTAACAAGTAGTGATATGAAATAAAAGGGAAGTATGAAATACAAATATACTAGGAAGTTTAAAAGTAGCAACCCATTAAATCATAGATAATGGTGAACCGACTTAGATGGTATAGACACACGATAAGGAGGCCTAAAAATTATATAGGAAACAAAGTTAAGAGTCTAGAAGTGATAGATAAATGTAAGAGATGAAAAACTCCAATGCGCTTACAAAGTTAAAGCCAATATCACGCAATAAGCTGAATAAAATGGATTGTATGAATAATATAAAACGGAAAGGGATATTGTAGAAGCTTATCACTCGAAAAGCTAAAATAAAAACAAAAAAAATTACAATGCTAATTAATATTTAAATTAAATAAAACAGATTATAACCCCAAACAATATAATGGATTTTGAGTCTGGTCCTTAATTTTAAAAAAAATACAACTTAAATTCATACCCTACTAGATGGACCTTCTCAAATTACAAAATGTTTGATGCATTTTAATTAAACCGATAAACGTATTAAAATGATTTTTTTTTTGATTAAAGGAAAAATTAATATATTTTTAGCAATTAATTGGAACACTTTAAGACTTTATATATATGATAAAATATATATTATCTATTTAAAATTTTCCTTTTAAAATTTTCTTTTAAAAAATAAAATTATTTTAAATTATATAAAATAATTATTATGAAGAATCACTTAAGTTTTTATTTTATTAATTGATTTTATAAAAGTTGACAAAAATTTATTTAAAATAATTTACCCTAGAAAAGAAGAAGAAATAAAAGAGGGAATTTTTATAATTTTTTATTTTATTTATTCAAATGTTTTTTTAAAGAATTTTTTTTTTATACTTGAAAAAGAATATGTAGAAAATTTTAAAAATCGCGTTTTATTTTAAATTTTATTTTATTTTTCGATATTTTGTTTTATTTTATTTTATTTTTCGTTTTATTTCATTTTATCATAAAATTTTTTTTGATTTTATTTTAAAATAGAAAAAGGATAATTTAATTATCTCCGCATCAACCCCCACCCCCTCCCCTACTCATAAATATGTTTTATTATTACGATCTTTGGGATTCTAACGGCCCTTTAAAAATCTATCTACTTATTGCTTTAAAAAAAATCATTAAATAACGAATTAGGTTCATCATTTTTAGAATGGGATTCAAAGAATAAGCAGTTTAAAATAAATATTAGTAAGAATATATTAAAATTACAATCACTTTTAAATGCATAAGAAACAAAATTTAAGGCCACATAAAACATGTAAATTTTAACGACCTGGAGTCACTGTGGCTCACTCGCAACCCGCTTACTTGGTCCTCCATGATAATGTGAGATTCTGGTTAAATTTTCTTCTTCATTTTAAAATCCGCAATGTGTTCACCATGATAACTCACTTCAAATTCTTTTGATCTAATATTACTGAAAGTATTTTCGTTTTAAAACCATACCATCTACCCAAGCCGAACTGTCATCTTTATACATAACGTCTTAGAACTTTATGTTGAAGATATTAATTACGTTTTTAAGTTCATTTAATATATAGTTTTCAATCACGTCACTAGGAGGGTTTCTAATAAATTTTATTAAATCTTAACTAGGTTGTTTAGAGTTAGAAATGCTCTTCAAAATAAAAAATTTCAGAGATTTTTAATCTATTTTTTTTTAAAGAAATTTTTTTTGATAATGAACAAAGCATGAATATTTTTTTGATTAAATTTTACCTAAAATTCCAAAATCAATTTTTGTAAATCTTTTATAAATAAATATTTTTGTGATTTTTATGCATAAAAAATCTTTTATGATATCTCTAAAAAATAAATTTTTTTTGATCTTCAATCATTTTTTGTTCAAGATTTTTGGGGTTTCAAATGCTGTTTTTATTAGATAACTAAGAGGGTGTTCTAATAAATCTTATCAAAGTATAATTTTTACCATGAGCTTTCAATTAAATTAAAGTTATAAATTCAATAGCTCTTACTTTCATTATATTGAGCCCACATTAGTGTAAAAGTAGTATAAAATTTTGAAGAGAGAAATGATGTTTAATCTAAGATCTATACTTTTTTTTCCTAGGTAGAGGCCATGTTCGAAACAAGTTTAATACGTATTTCGACTAATTAAATCTCAGATAAAATGAAAATTAAATTTGCCTGACCTGTCTAGTGTCCACCATATCAAAAAAATGCTTTTATCACGCTTATAATAACAATTTTAACAAAATTGTCAAGCCCGAGTATCATTATAATATATTACAATATTTTTATTCCTTTTTTTTAGATATATTTGGCAATATAATTTAAATTTGCATTATATATTTATACTAATTTTGACATTTTACAGATATATATCTCACCCATTTTTGTATATTATAAAATGTAATGATATATAAATTTTTTTCTTTTCTTACCTTTTTAAAAATTTATTAATAAAACATTATATATAAATATATACCTACCTAATCTAATACAATTTTTTTTCTTAAATATTATAGTATAGAATATTTATTTTATTTTTTAAAAAGTGATAATGGCAGTCTTTGATATAAAAATTAGTCAACTTTAATACACAGTGAAACTTTCATAGTATTCTCC